GTAACGGCCTCACTAGGCCGACGTGACAGGCGGCGTGAAAGATTTTAACGTTGCCTCGGTTCCTATGACGAGAAAAACCCGGAAGATCTCCTGGCTGCGTTTCTTGTAAGAATTTGAAAGATATTTAAGACGATTTTGTGTTGCCGTTGTCAAACTGGTGCTGACTGAAGAAAAGGCGCAGCAGCCTGAAAAGCAGATCTTCACCATACTTACCTCGCTGTGGCGTAACTTCTGTGAGGTGAATAGGGATTGGCTCCAGCGTTCTCACCGGTGTTGGACTGTAGGAGGATGCTAGCTGTCAGTTCTGGATAGTTACTGCTTTGGAGAGGATGCGATGATCCTATTTCTTTTTCCTAGGCCAACTGGCATAGCAAGAAGCACCTGCGCCCCAGCAGGAAATACTGTAATCAGTGGACACAGCCTGGGCTCTTCCCATTGCAGCAGACAATTTTATAGACCAATGTGTAGAAGTCAGTATTGGGTAATGTGGCCAGACATCTGATTCAGTAGCATGGAGATTTAAAGGTACTATGCTTGAATGAGACTGGTTTAAAAATGGCATAGCTCGAACCTAGGAATTTGGGAGTACTGGTTATTGACAGGCTTAATTGTCACCAGTAGAATCTGGCACCAAAATCAGGTAGTTACTCTGTTAGCCTGCAGAGCACTGCCAAGATCTGTTCATTAGGTCCCTCTTCAGTTTTTGTTTAAAACCTCTAAAAGAAAGAATAAAAAAGTCAGAGTAAATATTGCCACAGGAAATTAAATAACTTTTGTGTTAGCTTTTCCTTTTCTATAATCCGATGAGATTAAGGATGCTCCAAGAACATGTGACAATAGCTGTGGTTGGATATTCTGTTTAGAATGGTCATCAAAATGAGATTTGAGCACATGCACACAATTTTTTAATCTATCTAAATTCTTTTCAGTAGTTTCAAGTCTTTTAGAATCATTTATTAGTCTCTTAAACTCTGAGTTGGCAGGGAATAATAGACTTCACGTGACCAAGTATAACATTAATTTTTTATTAAGAGAATTTGGTAATGTCTCTGACAAAACTTTGTTCTTATGCTTTATTTAAATTCTGGATTGCATTTGAGGATACAAATAATACCGTATTTAAAATATATGCATGAGTTGCATACTTTAGTCAGTAGAAAACTGGAAATAACAAAGAACTCAACCTTTCTGCTTGCTTAAGAGTTAGTGATGAGTATAATCAGCATAATAAGAGCTCACATTGGTACTTTTTGACTCAAATGTGAGTGTGGCATATGCACTGGTACTTGTTCATTTGACAAGATCAGTATTTCTCTGGTCAGCAAGGAAAGCTTTGTAGGTCAGCCTGAAAGTTTAAGGCTTTGTGGATCCTCTTTTCTGTGAAGAAGGAAAAGTGCACACCTCCCTTAGTGCAATCAAAGTGAAAGGGATAATAAAATCCCCCCCCTTTTTTTTTTTGTATTAAATATTTCTAGGATTACAAGACACTCTCTGCTGTTTTCTTCATAGTCCTTTGGCAAATGTTATTTCAAAGGAGCTCTGCAAAATACAGGTTCATGCTCATCTTTTTTGCAGTAATCTGCATGACCCAGCCTTAATTTCATTCCTTGCGTTGTTCTGACTTTCTCCATCAAAAATGCTACTGTATCATTCAAGAGCTATAGCCTTGTTTTATCTGCCATTTTAGAATTCTTTTGAACTGAAAAAAACCACCAATTTCTTAGTCTATGCTCAATTCAAGTTCTTTATTCTTTTCCTAACCAGTTTCAGTTTAATGTGGTTTTGTGGTTAATTTCACTTTTTATGCTTGTCCTGGTTTTCTTCAAGGTTATAGATAAAAATGGCATATACGAAGCTATAGTCTAGTGTCAATTATTGCGGGTTTCAGACATAGTAAAAGTAATGCTTTTAATATCATTAACTTTTTTATTATTTCAGAAAAATTATTTTTGAGAAGCAGTGGTTCTATCTGGATAATGCCATCGGACATATTTATGGAACTACATTTGAAGTAACCAGTGGTGGAAACCTCCAGCCAAAGCAAGAGGTGGAAGAGGCTGCCACAGGTATTACAGAGGATTGACTGGTGTCTGGGAAAACAAGTTCAAATTAATTTGTTTCTTTGATAATACCAAAGAGGATAGAAAAGCTTTCTATTAATCATTTGTTAACTTAACGTTACTTATATTCTTTCTGTCATAAAAGTGCATGGTTTTGTCTTGATCTGCCGTTTCACTAGTCCTGTAACAAATAAGCTTTTTAATATGGGAGAAAATGTGAACCTTAGTTTGGGTGAATATATATATATACACGCACGCTAAGATGTATTTTACATATTACATTTCATTGGTTACTTAGGCAATACTTTGCAAGGCCATGAAGCATGTGGGTTTAATCCTGAGAAGTCTGCTTTCTGTGAAACTAAAATCTTATGTTTCTCCAACTTAAAGATATTTTGAGCTAGATTTTACAAATCTATATCCTTTTCCTTTAGAAACAAAAGAAGCAGGTACAGATAATCGTAACATAGTTGACGATGGAAAGTCTCAAAAACTGACTCATGATGACATAAAGGCTTTGAAGGACAAGGGTATTAAAGGACAGGTAAAAATAAGGTTTTGGTGTCATTTCTGTGCTACCTTGATGGTTATATTTTAGTTTATGAAATGGGCTATTCTTTTTATCGATGCATAGACTTCAGTGCTTTTTCTTTGTTCTTCTGCTCAATTCATGTTTTTCCTAAAGATCTGTTTTTACAAAAATGCAAAGGCTATTTTCAGAGAAAACTTCATGTAAGGTTGGCAACTTTGTCAATAGAGAGTAAAGTATGAATTTTTACGGCATCAGAAGTCACAACAAGGCAAAAAGAAATACTAAAACCATTAAGGAAATACAGCTCGCATCATCACCTTCTAGTTTTGTTTATTTATAAGATTCAAAATCCTAGTCATATATTATGGACATACTAAAATTGTGCAATAATTAAATTATCAGGGGGGTAGGAAGGGATTATGGATAAACACCAAAGTATTGACAAATCACGCTATGTAACAAATGTGCTATCAGTGTGCTAGGCGGTACCTAGCTTTGTGCTAGGCGGACAAAGCTGGTAAAGGGCCTGGAGAAGAAGCCTTATGGGGAACGGCTGAGGGAGCTGGGGTTGTTTAGTCTGGAGAAGAGGAGGCTGAGGGAAGACCTGATCGCCCTCTACAACGACCTGAAAGGAGGTTGTAGCGAGGCGGGGGTCGGTCTCTTCTCCCCCGGTAACTAGCAATAGGACAAGAGGAAACGGTCTCAAGTGGTGCCAGGGGAGGTTCAGGTTGGATATTAGAAAGAACTTCTTCACTGTTAGAGTCGTTAGGCATTGGAACGGGCTCCCCAGGGAGGTGGTGGAGTCATCGTCCCTGGAGGTGTTCAAAAAACGTTTAGATGTGGCGCTTCAAGACATGGTTTAGTGGGTTTAGCGGGCATGGTGGCATCAGGTATACGGTTGGGCTTGATGATCTTTGAGGTCTCTTCCAACCATAATGATTCTGTGATTCTAAGTGTGGACCTACCAAACACGTGGTGCCTGTGTTTTATCTGCACCGCAAAAGCTAAGGATATTCACAAGAGATCTGTTCTGTTCTATTAGAAAAGGCATTGGTTTTCACCCTGCACTTTGTCAAAAAGAAGTGAGGCCATCTTAAGTGTTAATAAACCATTGCAGCCAGTTCTGTTCTGCACATGTTATCAGGCAAAATTCTTTCAGCTTTGTTTGACCCTTTCTAATAAAAATAAGAAATTGCTCATGCTTACATCAAGTTCATCTCCTCTTTGCATCTTGCTGTTTGCCGCTGCTCTTCAGGGCAGCTGTTCTGCTTTTGCCTGCTTAATAAGGGATGGGTCCAAGGAGTTCAGAGTGGTATTTCTTCTGTTTCCATGGTTGTGCTGCTCATTGTGTTATCTCTTTGAGAAGAATGTACTAACCAGTCTGATAGCTTTGATGTTTCTTATTTGTCCTCGTTATCTGTGGCAGAAGATGTCTGGCTTTTCTGTATGTCCTCAGCATGTCCGTGCCATGCATCTACCGTACTGTTATTTTAGGTTATTAAAATATCCTACTTTGTTAACTCTGGTTTCTGAACTGTAGCTGAATATTCATTTTAGACTGTGTTACATTAGCAGCAATAGATACTATTCTTCCATAAATGTCTAGTAAAATTCGAACTCATGTTTGTGAATGGCATGCCTTTGTGACGCAGGCTCAGTTTAGAGATAATTGTTACTTGAAATAAAACAACCTCAGTGTTAATGGGGTTTGATTTTTCCCATCACATCCCAAATCCTTCCCGTGCCCTGAGGGACAGGTGTTAGGATGAAGACATGAAGTGGCGTGTACTCCCAGGGCATTGCATAGTGCTGCAGCTTCCTTTTGGCTTTTGCTTACCCTAGAGAAATATTCCCATTTCCTCACTGAAAATTTTACTGGAACAAAACAAAAAACAAACAAAACAACCCAGACACTGCATTTAACTTTTTCCAAGAATAAGGCAAAAAAAGGAAGATACGCTGTTTCACACCATTAATAACACATTTTAAGTCTTTGAAGGACTTCAAGAAATAATGGCTTGAAAAGCAGCAATAGCAAGTGAGAAGTACTTGCATCACTGTATTTTGGGTCAGGTTCTTAAAGTGCAATAGGAGATGCAGTGTCCACATCAAAAATACTCCTTTGTCATTCCCCCACTCACCCTCTCCAAATTCCTGTGAGGCCAGGTTGTGCTACTGCTCTTCCTGCGCGTTTCATAGAAACTTACAATGTGAGCAGTGAAACTGCTTTGATGACAACCACCACAATAGCACTCTGCAGCATTTGTTCTTGTATTGCAGGCATGGAGACAAACCCTGAGCAATGAAAGGGGTTGATTTTTTTATTTTGGAGGTCTTAATGATCCCTCCAGCTGGAACCTGAAAGTATGAGGAAGAGTTGGATTGGCAAAGGGAGGAGATTAGAACAAGAAGACCAGGAAACAAAAACTGGAATTCTGGGAAAACCCAGGAGCTAGAAATTAAGAAGTCACAGGGAATATGTAGGAAATAGTGAATGTTAAGGAGTTTGACATTGTGTGAGGAGTTGGTACGGGAGTCCAGCACAATTTGGGAGGCAGACGAAATTAAGTGGGGTAAGGGAGATGTCTGATAAGTAGCCAGAGTATAGGGGAAGAACTAGCACAAGATGGGGAAAAAGATAGCCTCAGGGACAGAGATGCTAAGTCAGACAAGAGACCCGAAGAGGAAAGAGGGAGTTGGATTAAAGTAAATGTTACATATGACATCAAGTTCCTTGTTCTGTTTCGGTTTTGTAAAATATTTTTGCCTGTATAGCTTCACACAGGACTTGGGGTCTGTCATGCAATCGAGTTGCTATGGGGAATGTTAAACTGACAGAATATACGTCAGTTATTCCATAATAACTGACAATAAACATAACTCTGCCTCATTCCAAATACAGGCTAATTAAAAGTAGCTAATTGCTTAGAGAAAGCTGGGTGGTCTTGTTGACATTCAGCATGGGATAAGAATATTTAGGTACTGAGGCTTCACAGCGAGGGCTGAAGCGATGACTTGCTGCTGCTGAAAGGAACAATCCTGCTTTTTCTTCATTTCTGGCCATATGAGTCTGCCCTCTCGCATGAGTGAGTTCTGACACCTACCAGACTCCTTCTCCACAAAATACCCCGTTTCCAGCATAAGCATTTTCAGGTTTATAATTTTGACGCTGGCATTATGTAGTTAAAGAACGTGTAGAGGCAAAAGTATATGATCAAATTCCTGCAGATAGTCGGGGTAGTGCCTTACTTCTCGTGTTGATGAAAAGAAATTTACTTTGCCATTAATGTTGGTAAAGGTAATGGTATACATGCATCTATTGGAAGAAAATATTTTCAATGTTTGTTTAAAAAAATACTATATATGAAATGAATGAGAAATAAATACCAGCTATAATAAAAATAAAATCATCTCTTCCAAGGAAATAGTTCAACAGTTAATAGAGAACAGTACAACATTCAGAGACAAAACAGAATTTGCTCAAGATAAATACATAAAGAAGAAGAAAAAAAAGTAAGTGAATTTTAAAATATGGAAAATACTTAGTAGTTCTCTAATTTGCTGAGCTTGAAATAAGAGTATTACTATGTGTTTCCTACAGATATGAGGCAGTTATTACAATTGTGAAACCATCCACTCGCATTCTTTCAACAATGTATTATGCAAGGGAACCTGGAAAAATTAAGTAAGTTTTCGTTTTGTTTCTTTTTTCAAGTTATAACAGAAAGCTATTTTAATATTTTTCAAAGTACCTGTATTATACCAGAGTATATAATACTCAGGTTTCTTCTTTTCCTGTTAATGGAAAGACGGCAAAATAATGAAAAGTAGTGTGATACAGAAAATGAATCAATATGCCATTGCAGCAAAGGGGAAGACTTCTGCATGCGGCATCAGCTTTTACCATTTCCCTGCCACCGCCATCTTGCTAGGCACCTCTGTAGACAGAGGCTCTTTGAATTTTCAGGGGTATCCCTTTCCTGGTTTTCGTCAGTGGCATATCGTCTCTGTTTTCTGGCTCAGTAATCAAAATAACAAGCCACTCACCAGAAGCAGGAATTTTTGTCTTTAATGTGTTAGGGATTCAAAATCTTATTCGATCAGAAGTCTCCAGAATTTAAAAACATGTGGCTAACATTGCGGGGCAGGAGTCGGTAGGGCGACAAGGACAGAGATCTAGCCACACTTGAATTTCACTTACCTAAATTAAATGCTACATTGTTACAGATATTGTTTAACTGATTTATTGTTTTTGATGTAGTAATAGTAGATCTAAAATGCTGAGACTTAAAACCCTCAAATTTATGTTGTTTAAGGCTTCTCAAACCTTTTTCCTTCTCCTTCCCCCATCTCCCTCACTTGGCTTCATTTACCTGTCAAAGATTAGTTGTGATTACCTTGGCCATCACTGAGTCTCTGCAGTTCATGCGCTGCAGTCAGTGGAGGCAGGTTTTGATCCTGGATTGCAGGTTTTGCATGCTACTGCAAAACAGATCAAAATCACTAAGGATACATTACTGGAGTAGGAAACGCATTAAAATACCATTTGTTCTTTACAAAAACTGAGGTGTCAGAGAAAACAAACAAACAAACAAAAAAAAAAAAAGAAATTAAAAAAATGTTTTGTCTGACTGACACAGCAAGATGTCTACTTAAGTACGTGCACCCTACTTTTGCTATTCCCTGCTAATTTCTTGTTGGCTCTGGTTCTAGTCCTTTTATTACCAGATGGTTAACTGGAAGTTTCCACGTGGTGACTCTGAAGACCCCGGATGCTGTTCCTGAAAATCTACCTGTAATCCAACTTTTTTTGACAGGCTCCTGAGCTAATATGCAGTACTTCTAACTCTAAGAAAACTAATCTGATATTTCTTAAAACCTTCTGTCTTCTAGCCACTTGCGATATGACACCCTCGCTCAGATGTTGACTTTAGGAAACATCCGTGCTGGCAACAAGATGATTGTAATGGAAACATGTGCAGGCCTTGTGCTGGGTGCAGTGATGGAGCGCATGGGAGGTAGGTAACACCGTAGCTTTAGTAATGTACGGACTGAGGGCTCACTCGAAACATAAGAAATACGCATCTCTGTGATACTTTTAAAAGGCAGTACTTCAAAATACTTTCTGAGTTTTTAAAATCTGTTTTTACTGTCTCCAGTATTCAAAGAGATACTTGTTTTTTCATTGGAGAAAGTTGTATTTTGCATATTTCAGTTGGATTTATTTTTCACTGTTTAAAAAAAAAAAAATAAAAAAAAATAAGGTTGATAACACTGTATGTAGATGTAGTTTCGTTTCTCTCTTAGCATAATGACATTGTGTTCAGAAAAGGCTGTAAGGAGCTTGTATGCAGATTATTCCCAGGCACCTGGGAAGTCCAGGGAAGTGAACGGCAGAAAGCAGGAGTAGTAACAGTGGAATTCAGACAGCCTGCAGCACTGAAAATGTTGTCATTCTTCTTGTTCACTGCGCCAGAGATTTAACATCTGCAAAATGTGTATTTTAAAAGTAGTATATGACACTTTCTTGAGCATATTCTAGGAGAAGTTTGACTGTTTTTTTATTTCACAAACTCGGTTAGTTAGTTTCATCGTAAATCATTCAAAGACAGTAGACAGAGGTGACGACTATGTTCCAGAAGCCTGGAAAAGTCGGAGGTGTGATGTAATGTTGTGCACCCAGATGTGCTGTCTGTTGGCTGAGCAGCACACAGGCAGCTGTACTATAAATTGGTTTTGTTTCAGCAACTTTTGGCCATAGGGATACTTTCTGAAGTAAATTAAATCAGATGGAATTTCAGTATAACTACTGAAAAGTTCTTTTTGGTATGTTCAAACATCTGACATCTCTTCCTTTAGAGTCTGGATGTTGAAGAAATTCTTTACCTATTAATGCTGTTTAAGTTAGCTTCTATCTTTTATCAAAACCACTTCGTAGTTGTAAGTAACAAATACTGTAGAAAATTTGTTTTTTAATTCTTAATTAAATTAGCTTTTCTAACAATTTGCCACTGCTTACGTGTTCTGTGCTAACCGTAAATACGTTTAATATGTGCATAATCTTTGAGTTACTGTGTCCTTTTGAGTTGCAGTAACTGTTGTCCTTCCAATAAAGATTTTGTGCCTTGAGGCCTACTTCAGCAGCCTGTTAAATTTGATGAAGGTTAGATTAAGAGCAGGCAATTTACTTACCTATTCTTACGGGAATGGTTCATTTAAGTATTATAGAAAATTTCTGCAATTTAAGAAATTCTGGCTTTCCAATGTGGTTTTGATTCTTTTGCTCTCACAGGCTATGGATCCATTATTCAGATGTATCCAGGAGGGGGACCTGTTAGAGCTGCTACCAGTTGTTTTGGATTTCCAAAAGTTTTTTTCGATAATCTTCATGAATTTCCTCTCAGCAAAGTGGACAGTCTCCTCTCTGGGACATTTTCTATGGAGACTCTGCCTTTGGAACCTGAAGGTAACGCGCTAGCGGAAGAAGAAAGCAATGGATTGACTGATGAGAAGCAGACTTGCCTACAAGAAATGGAAGAGGAGTCTGCTCCTGAAGCAGCTATGGAGGTCAACCAAACAGAAGAGCAAGAGACAATGGACATTAATGCTGAAGACGTAGAATTCAAAGAGAACAAAGAAAAAGAAAGTAAAGAAAATGTAAGAACATTGGTTGTGACTATTCAAGTTTTACAATGTCTACTTAAAATTCTGCCGTCTGAATCAGATATGCTGAAATACAGCTTATTCGGTTATAATGGAGCTCTGGAAGTTGTCTTTTGTCTTGCATTGAGCCATCCAAGATGCAAAAAAAGAAAATTCAGTCCATGCAATAGTGATCCAATATATAGTTACCAGTTAAAGTGCAAACTGTTTGTTTTGTTGTTTAAAGGTTCGGGAAAAGCAAAGAAAACAATGGGAGAGAAGGAAAAAGCTCATAGAAACTGCTGCTTTGTTGAGAGAGAAGAATGCTGATGGGTGAGTTTTCTGTAGTCAGAAAGGTCTTCTGTTTGAAAACACATCTACAGAAAATAATTACCTTTGAAACAAATAAAAGCTTTGGTTTGCAAATACCCTAATATTTTTCTTACTATTTACAAGCAAGCAGTCAATCCCAGTGTGTCTTGGGTCTTGTTTGGTTCTTACCTGGTTGAGATTTTTTCTGTTATTTAAATGATTTGAAATTTCATGAACTAAAAGTCATAGTTTCCTGACTAGCTATGAGTAAACATTAAAAAAAAACCCAAACCTTATCTGTCCAAAGAGAAACAGAATGCAGGTATTGAATTCAGTTCAACAGAAAATGACTGCTGATAAAAATTATCATTGGCAAAGTAGAACCTGAGGTTTGAAGTTTATTAAATTGGAACTAAGTTTGTTGTTTTGGGGGGTTGGTTTGTTTTTAGAAACTCCTTTTTTTTTATACAGGAAAAAACACATAACCTCATTTTACCTTTTTAGCCAAGATCAGTTGTTCCTAAGGAACAATTTAACCTGAAGATGTAATATCTTATTTGTTTTAAACTTCTGATAAGCATATGCCTAGAAATTCAGCCCCACAAGAGTGTAAGAGCATTTAGTGATGTTCTTAGCAAGTGCTGAAGTGATTTGAGTTAATCAAGTAACATTGATTTAATTTAATAACATTCATACTCCTTTTTTCCTCCTAAGAATATTGGCTCACTGGGAATAAAGCCATTCTGCTTGGATAAATTTTAATACACATTTATTGGTTATGTTTAAATGTTTGTGTAATTTTTGGTTTTGTTATTATGAAATGTTTTAACCCATGCTCATTCATGTTTTAGTGTATCTCATCTAGTCTATTTAAGTGGTAGAATTAGCCTTTTCTATAAAGATGCAGAGACAGTTCACTCTCTGTTCTCCGAAGCAATAAAATGGTGAAGGAGGTTTGTAGAAGTACCGCGTGTCCGTCTGGCAGCCACAGCACCGCTGGCAATGCCTGTGGGTGACCACTGAGCTGCCTGAACTGCGGTACTGTTCTGGTTTCACCGCTGCCGCCTCCACCCATCATTACAGTTAATGTCCTCGCCTGGTCAGGCAAAGCGACAATTTGTCTTTGACTTGAGTTTTCCTGTAGTGTAAAACAGTATATTTGGTTGTCCGTTGAGTTTGAGTTCAAGGAAGCGTATTTAGTATTTGTCTCATTCGTTTGTTTTCAATGACTTGTACGCTTCTTTTGTCCTCTGTAATGCACAAAAGCTGTAACAAATTCTGTACGTGAAGGGATGAGTGATTTGTTGCTCTAGGAGGTCTTCAGCACGATGCGGGGGAAGAGAGGTTTATGGCTGCCTGAGGGCACTGTCCCAGCTGGCTCAGTCGGGATCAACTTTCTTCAGTCATCTGCCTTTTATAGCCCACCATTTGTTCAGAGCGAGAACCACAGGGTACCTGTACTGCTGAGCCAGGAAAAATTGGCAGGGAGTAAAGAAATGGCTCAAACTAACAACTTGGCACGTGAGTAGAAGCAGGGAGGGAAGTGTGGGTTGTGTTTGTTTGCAAGGCAGGAAAGGAAAGGAGAGGTAAAAGCTGGGTAACATTGGAGGTGAGGAGAAAGATTAGGATTTACTGTCTGACTAAAGAAAAACTGGTCGTTAGGTAAAGATGGGGACCAACTTGAGGAGAATTACTTCTTGAGGTCCTGAATTTAACAATATTTACTACTTAACAAGGAAGATACAATTTTAATAACATTTGTATCTTCTGTGCTGTTATGTGGTAAGACATTGCTTGTCCTAGATCTCTTTGTTCAATTCCATTTATGAGAGTTGAAGTCTGTCATAGGTCTCTCGGGGAAAAAGGAAGACGTTCATGAGGGATTTGGTATTCTTTTGAAGATGCCTTTTTTAAGGTAGACTGTTAAATTTTGCTGATGCTATGAAAGTGGAAGGTGGTTTATAGGCACTCCGTGTGTTTAGAATTAGACCACACCCTCTCCCTCCACCCTTCCCTGCCCTTCCTCTACCTCTTCCTTCTCCTTAATGTTGCAACTGGCCAGACTACCTGCTGACAGCAATATGTGCTGCCATACGAGAGAACAGAATTTGATTTTCCACAGTCTCTCTCATCCCTCGCTTTCCTTCCTGCTCTCTGGCAGAGCTCCTGGCAGTCTCAGTGCAGCACTCCAACCCTTCTGAGGCACAGCCTGGAGTCGTTTATTGCTTTATGGTCCGCTTGGTTAATTACTGAGCACCAATTTTTTGAAGTTTGGATTTGAAGTAAATGGCCCACGAGGCTGTGGCCGACAGAAAACCAAAATGGAAACAACTGTAAAAGAATTGTCTCACCTCTTACCTCTATTGTGTGTAGAAAACAGAACATCCATTTTTACCTCCCTGTTGTTAGGTGAGTTTAATGGTGTCTCCAGGGCTGTACCTTCCCCTGGAGAACAAATGTTAATTGATGGCTTGTCTCGTACAGCATCTGGATATGGGAGAAGCACTTTAATGAGCCTGTTCTTTCTGCAGAAGTACAACTTCCTAATTTACTCAACCATTTCTTCCAATCTAGTATAGCAGTGGGTTTTTTTGATTAAAACTCTAGATATCTGTAGAGAATCTTAAGCATCTGTAAATCCAAGTTATACTACAGTATTAAAGTGAGGATGGAGAACAAAATATGAAGCCTTTAAGTTGGCAAAGACGTAATTTATTTTTAGAAGATTTTTTTAGTCGTGCCCATTAACAACTTTCTAATATAAAACGGTATTTAACAAAGATTACCCAGTCTAAAGAATCATGGCTGAGGTAACATTCTAAGCAACAATTAGCAGTCACAAAATTTAAATTATATTTGGACAATGGTCTTAGGGTAGAGCAAGCAGCATGCAAATTCATGGGTGGTAAGAGTTACTGCGGAGCTCAACACAGCTGAAAGGAGCGCTTCTGCAATGCATTTCATACACTGCACTTCAGGGAACAAGGGGTTTATCCTCTTAATTATGCAAGTAGGAAATGGTGGTTTGTTTTTCTATTTGGGGAGTTTAGTTAGGGCCATGAAAACATGCCGATTAGCAACATTTAAGCTATAATTGATCGCTGTGCTAAGTTGGAGAAAATGTCACTTGATGAATAGGTTTTAGAAGCAGAAAACTAATGTGTGGTATTTCTTTCGCAGCTTAATTGTAGCCAGCAAGTTTCATCCGACTCCTTTATTACTTTCTTTATTGGAATTTGTTGCTCCTTCAAGGCCTTTTGTTGTCTACTGTCAGTATAAAGAGGTAAATCAAGTATGTTATTTGAGCTGTTAAGAGTTCAAGTTTGAGACTATTCTGCTGTATAACCGACTATTTGTTGTTTGGTTGGTTTTTGTTTTTTAAGCCGTTATTAGAATGTTACACAAAGCTGAGGGAGCGGCGTTATTAACCTAAAGCTGTCTGAAACCTGGCTACGAAACTACCAGGTAAGGATTGCAGTAAGTGGCTGTCAAAAAGGGGTGGGTACTGGGGAGCAAAACACACACAGACCCTAAGTTTCTTGGACTGACTGAAAGCATGTGCAAGCTCATGCCTTTGTTTTACCTGAGAGCAGCAGGAAAATATTCTGAAGAACTTTAATGCTTTGTTGCAGCAATTTCAATGGAAATACTTAATTTTCTTCTTACAAAGCATTTCATTTAAACATTTGCTGAAATATTTGTAGCACACTCACAAATTTAATAGTTGTGCTGCTTTAGTGGTTAGCCTAAAGTGAGGGACAACCAAATGTTGTGTGAGAGAGGGGTAGCAAAATATTACAAGTGTTTATTAATTTCCAGTTAGTTTGATAACTGAAAAAAAATCTGTAACGTTAAGAATGGTGCTGACTCATTTTGGGTTTTCTTCTTTTAAAGGTCTTACCAGATCGAAGCCATCCAAAGCTGACAATGAGCGGAGGAGGAGGGTACCTGCTGTCCGGTATAACTGTGGTCTTGGATAAGGGCAAAGCTGATTCCAGTACTTCGGAAGCACTGAAGACGGACGAGCCATCATCGAAACGATGCAGAGTTCAAGACCTTCACTGTTAATGTTTGAAGAATTGATTTGTGTTTTAGATCTTGGGAGGTTTACAGTTAGTGAAATAACAAGTACACTTCCTGTGCTCGTGACAGCACAGAAATTGTACCTGTCACACACCTGTCAGCAAGAAGCAGCAGAACTGCACCATCGGGAGGCTGAGGCTCATCTCGCTCTTCACCAGTTGACGTGATCAGAGTGAGAATTAAAACCCTTGGAAACAAACGTCACACTGAAAATGCGGTAACTTCAAAAAGAAGAGAAGATGGAGTGTCCGTGAAGGCACTCTGTTTGTTTGTTGCCAGAAGCGGCTATGATGATGCAGACTTTTAAAAGGTTGAGTCTGAATCACGACATTGAACCTGGCGTGCCGTGTCCCAGAGCAGCGTCAGGGCAGAGCGCTCACCGGGGTGATCTGCTCCCCTCTGCGCACAGAACCCGACCCGCCTGTGTCAGGCGCTGGGGACACAGGAGGAGCAGCCGAAACCACACGCTCGCCTTGCCAAAGGAGCAACGGAAATGGAATACTCGTACCAGAGCTTTACAGCGCGGCCCCGTCGTCTCCTGAGGTCAATGCAGAAGAGAAGGTGCATGCTCACCAATTAAAATACCAAATATTTAAACAGAATGTCTCTGTTAGTATTGCCTGGCATTTTCCTGAGAGTCGTTAGATGTTTTTATTTTAAGATATGACTATTTGGAAAGCCGCTATATATATATCTATTTATTCTACTGTTTTATCTTCTATCACGTGTAGCTTTTTTATTAATTTTTTTTAACTTTGCATCTGCCATTTCAATTAAACTGCAGGATGTTTTTCCTAACGAGATTTATTTTCTTTTTCTTACTTTTCCCTCTTTTTGGAAATAAAAAAGTCTAGCAGAGGCTTTAGGAGGAGAATGCCCTTGCTGGCTGCGCCCCACTGGACCCCCCCTGCCCTGGGGGGAGCTGGCAGGCTTGACCGTACCGGGGGGGAACTGGAGCCTTGGGACGGTGCGGTCAGACTGGGTGAGGCTGTGAAACGCTGCGTGTGGGGACGGGGCTGCTCCTGTGGGATGCCCCTGGCCCACAGCAGAGCAGGTTGTGTGCAGAGGCAGCAAAAGGTTTCTCTGAGGTGAACAGGTACCATCATTCTTTCTGTCTTGCCCACCTTTTTTCTATTTTTATGGAAAGCTTTGCTTTTCTTCGCTTACTTACGTGCAAAACCCCTAAAGAGTGAGAGCGTACCTTTCACCATCTCCTCCCTGTTCCACCAACCAGGTGGATCTGAAAAATGAGCTTTGCCCCTCGTGCCTTTCCCTTCAGTGCAAGGGTTGCAAAGCCCATGTAGGGAACAGAAATGTGACCTGTGGTTTGTTTTTTGGTTTTTTTTTTTTTTTTTTTTACTATGTTGTTTTAAAATGCTTGGATTTCTCAACTTCTTTCAAGCAGTAGTGGGGAAAGGGGGGAGGGAAGGGAAGTTTTCCTTTACCTTCAGTGCAGTCAATTGGGATGCTGAAAGCGGCCAGCACCCCATATGCGATGAAATGCTGAGCCAGCCTAGCTCAGAGCAACCCGTAGGGGCCGGGAAGCTCAGGAAAGGCAAGAAAATGATGAAACCCTCTTTTGCCTCAGTTTTCCTACCTGTAAAGCAGGCACAGGGACTTCTCTGCCACCTCCCTGGAGCCGGCGGGTGCACGGCTGTCACGCCGAGAGCACGGCAACGGTGGAACGACTTGCCTGACAGAAGTTAGGCTAAGCAACCAACACATGTTTTAAATCCTAATGTGCTAAAAATAACACAAGGAAAAAAAAGATCTGTTTTATTTGTATAATGAAAAGATCAGTTTTGAGAAATAAATAAACAGTATTGGAACACCTGAAAAATTTAGATCGAAGCCAAACTGGCTTCATTTCCCCAGCATTAACAGTAACGCGCTCCCAGTACTGGATCCTGTTCCCCCATTTTTAAATGCTCCCTAACGCTGGTGAAAGCTAGTAAGAAACCAAGAAATAATTCATGTAAAATATTTAGAATTACTGAGGTTTCAAATTGATGGAACATATTCTATATGGAATAGTGGAAGAGCACATCTCGATGTAACGCTGTTCCTATTTTAGTTGTAACACGACTAAATGAGACTCTAAAGGCTACAATGAGAGCAGCGTTGTTGAAATGCAAGTTATGATTGAAACTGGAGGGAGCCTTTGTGTTTTTGCAAGTAACAAATTGGGGAGAATACCACCAAAGGAGAAGAGTGTGCATCCTGCAAGAGCTTACCAGAAGCTGAAAATAGCAGCTGTAACGAGAAGCAGCGCTAAGAGGAAAGACAAAAGCGGGGGGCAAGGCAGCGGGAAGGCGCTCCCGGCGTACCTGTGTTTAGTCTCCACAAAGCACAGCCCAGGAACCCAATAAGGACCAGAGCCTCGAGGCCGAACGTCCAAGGCCTTTTGTCTCCGGAAGTATAAAACATAACAAATCGATATAATTTAATTTTGGTCAATGATGTGTAGCTAAGGAATGGGGAAAGGTAGTGGCTACTAAACCAGAGACGAGGTCCTTAAGGCAGGACTAACCTTTAGCGCACTGAGGTCTGCAGAGTACGTGGTGCGGATGGACAAGCTGAAGAGCCGACCTGCACCGCACAGGCGTATTGGCTGTACGAGGGGCTGCCGCTGGGCCGGCGTGACACCTTACAGCGCGTCAGACCTACCTCAGCTGTGGGCACAGCCACTGCAGCTGCACTCCATTTTTTAAAAAAAATCGTGTAGGCATATTTTAAAAAAACAAAACAAAACACCTTCCCTACAGCTTGAAATGGGGCGCTTCCACCAGGAAAGAGTTGTTGTTATTTTGCGGTCTGGCAATGAGTGCCCATGTTGGTGTCTCCTGCAGTACTCCTCCCAGCTTGAAGTGTGCCCGGTGAGGGTGAGGAAGGAGCCCCAGGTGCTGTTTACACCTCAGAGGACCTTCAGCCTTCTCCAGCAGCCTCAACAGCCGAGGGCAGTGCTCCAGCCTCTGACGCTGTCCTACCCTGCCGACGGCCCGCTCCAGCGAAGATATTGCTGCGCTTGAAGTCAGCTGGTGCCTGGTTTTATTCCTATCATCTTTAGTCACAGAGCAGAACACACAACTGCCTTCACTATGCAAATTTGCTGAAAATAGCAGATTAGAAGAAATAAGCAAGCAGTTACCAAGCTTTCCATGCCTGTGTTTTACTAAAACTACACATCACATTTACCATTAACAAGGAGTGCTCTAGCCAAAAGCAAGACAACACTTTTTCAGAAGCCAAAACCACCATTTAAGTTTCATTTGATTTCCTGGAACAAGGTTATGCATCTTGCACCACCAATACTTGTTTTAAATTGTACCACCTAGCTTCAATGCCAAAAGCACGCAACTTGCCTTTAAATAATGCAAATTCATGTAAATTGTACTGAAGGGCCGTTTAAAAACAAGCTCTAGTGTTACCCATCAAAAAATCTTGAACAGGCAATGCAAACACCCAGATTAAAAATGGACCAGGCAGCAGCAGTGAAAACAGCTCCTCAGCTCTGGGTGCTTGTGGCGTCGGCCCCACAAGCAATGCAAGTGGAACAGGGAAAGACGACAGACAAACGGGTTGTCACAAAGCTCTTGGAAGCCATTGAATGATACTTAAAGTTTTTCAAGGGACATATTTTTAAGCAAAACATTGCTGATTCATTGATGTAGATTTGCATAAGCTGAGCTTTAAAAAAAAAAAACAACAAAAATCATTGCTAAAGTTACATAATTGAACAATTTAGAAAGTTTTCTGTGCTACAACTAAAGCTACTTGCTTCTAGGTATTTACATACAGACACGCTTTCTCTCATACCAACTGGGAGAGAAAAAACCAAAGGAGCATGCTGCAATACTTACAGTACAGTATTGTAAATTTGAAAAAGGGAGAGTCCCAGAATTTGAAGACAGCAAACAAAAGTATTTCTGCAGCTGGGACACCTTCTAACTTTCCTTACTGTTGCAGGAAAAGTCTGTTGAAACCATGGTCCCACTGAAGTCAAAATTCTATCAGCTTCTTTGAGCCAGATTCGATCTTCATGTATCCTAACCAAAGCGGATGAAACATTTGAGTGGCCTCACCAAAATCCCAAGGCGTAGAGACGCTCATGCAGTTCACGGATTGGTATCTGGGTATTTTCACTTCCTATTGCCTGACAGTTGATTGGAGAGCTATGTTTGTGTGTAATGAGCAGGCAGATTAAATGGGTTAAGCTGGGACAACAGACACTCCACATTTACCAGTAATGTGACTCAGCGGAATTCTTTGTATAGCACCTCTCTCCTGAGTGTGCTGTTACACAGGCGACTGAAGACACTGCCACAGCAGAAAGTCTGTAAAAAACACATGTGGATAAGTTAAATCAAATTGAACCCCAGATATTTGGAGTAATTGAAACTAATTATGGGACCATTTCTTTTACTGCTCCGTAGTGTTGTAAGATTACCAAAGGGCTCCTTCCACACACCACTTCTGATGTAAGGCATCGTACCCTTCATTACAGGGAGCCCGTCCTGCCCCCGGCTCGCTGGCTGTTGAGAAACTCGCCCTGTGCCAGACGAGCCCCGCTCCAGCGCAGCGCACAGACTGTGACATTTCTCACCGCCACCCGCTTGCCTGCAGCGGGCAGAAGAACACATTAGCAGAGCACGTTCGGCAGGTGGTTAATAATGGGGCTACTTAGTCCGAGTCAGTGACTAACCCAATCCACTACGCAATGCGTCGATTCTGAAGCACCACGTGCTTTCCAAAGTAACAAGCGTCCATTTGGTGTTGCAGCCTCTTTGCTACTGTAATGACTAATTTTCAGAACTAAATAATTCACAGGGTGTTTCTGAGTTACTGGAGCAAATTAATCGGCATTC